TATATATGTTAGAGCTTACGAAGGAAGGATTGACCTGCTGAGAGCTGTGATCGTTGGGTCCTCCGGAACACCATACCACAATGCCCTCTTCTTTTTCGACTTTCACTTCCCTCCAGACTACCCAAACGTACCTCCAAAGGTACATTACACATCACAGCTCCTTTGGCCTCCGCCTCCGTTTGAATCCAAACCTTTATGTCAACGGAAAAGTCTGTTTGAGCATCTTGAATACATGGACTGGTCCTAGTTGGGAACCTCGGCGGTCGAGTATATTACAGGTCTTGGTTTCTCTCCAGGCACTAGTACTCAATGACACCCCTTTTTTCAGTGAAAATTATAACTATAGGGTCTTTGTGATGTCATGCGAGACTATGATTTTCCTCCTCCGAAACAAGCCTAAGAACTTTGAGGGTTTCATTGTTGAACATTTTCGCAGCCATGGACGTGCTATTTTGACTGCGTGTAGGGTTTATAGACAAGGGTTTTTGAGAGTTGGTCACTATGAAGATGACACCACCACCATGTCGTTGTTACCAGAAAGAGTCCGTGTACCTTGGGAGTTCAAGGATTCAATGACGCGGGTGTATCCAGATCTTGTTGCAGCCTTTGCCAAGAATGATCCTTCTCTGAGGAATTTCATTCCACGGTTGGATCTAATGATTGGAAAAACTAAAGAAAAGTATTGCAAAAGGAGAGACAAAAAAAGATGGAAATAAGAATCAGAAGAAAAAAGAAGTTTTTTGGAATGCTGAAGAAAATTGTTTGATTGAACATGTGTGCAAAAAGTAATGTGGCTGCTGGAATTGAAGCAAAGTAGTCAATCAGATGGCAGCGACGACTTTGGGTCTCAAGAAAAGGTGATTATGACGTCTCACATCTCTGGTTCAAATATTTGGTGAGCAATTCCGAAAAGATGAGGGATTTACAAACTTTTCAAGCAGTATTAGAATGATGCAGTAATTTATTTATGATTAACATGTGATCCACTTAATTACCTTTTGATAAACCATGTTACCGATGCTTTGCTGAAAGCTCAAACATAATTACATAGATGGTTTTCGCAGATTAATGTTTGTCTTTCCCCATATATTAGAAAGATATCCTCGTAATTAAGGGTTGAAAATGGAAATCTAAATACTGTGCTTCATATTTTCATTCTGCATCAATTCTCATCTTTGCTCAGCAGCAGCAATTTGAAATTAAAGAAGAATGTTGGGAAATAGAATGCGGATTTAATTTAATTTATGATCAGCTCCAACTCAATTTCAGCACAGGCAAATAATCTCTAGTTCTCATATTTTTTTTTTTTTTTTTGTTCTATAGAATCTAATTATAGATGAATTTGTAAGATGGAAATTAAGGATCAATCTCATGGAATTAGTAGACTTTTGTTTCTTTCACCTGTTGGCCCACATAGGATTTTCAGCTTATACCTAAATAGAAGTTTGGATTTGGAATTAAATTTCAATTTAATTCGATGCTTTCAAAGACAACATATATGTAGTTGTGGTGATGGTTTTATTTTGAGAAATCACTTGGGCTATCCTATTTGGGTTGCTTCCATTTAGCAGACAAGAGTGAGCAAGCGAGTTAAGCACTGTTTGGTATCAGAGAAAATCAATGGCAACAGGTATTATTTCTCCTAATATGAAAGGCGTGAAATTTATAGATATAAATGAACCTTAAGGTTATGTTTGGTGTGAGTGAATGGAATTAAATGAAGAACGGAAGACAAAAGAGGGGTTTTTTTGTATAACTAAGCATGAGAAGAGAATGGTTCCATTCTCATTCCATTCTTACTTCATTTCATTCAACCACACCAAACATGACCTAAATGTTAAAAGTGGCCCGTTAAAGAAAGAATCTACAATATTGGGGCTTAGCAAATTTTCCGCGCCGGCAAACCTAATAGTCAATACCTTCTCCTAAGAAATCACCTAATTCGCCTGGTGGTATCACTTACTCTAATTTTGATGTTGCATTAGATAGGAAGCAGATTTTAATTAAAATCTAAAAAAACTTAATTAACCAATTTTTACATGCATATATATATATATATATATACACACACACACACACACTAGTAAAACAGTTACGTTAGCACTTGAATAAATCTAATTTAAAATTAATACAAATTATTTTCTTAAATAGTAATTAAAATTAATTTCTTAAAATAATCACACTACTATATTAATTAAGATAAACAAATTATAAGATTTTTTTATTTAAAAACTAATAATAGATAGGTAATTTGTGTTATAGTTTTATAAAAATAGTTTTAAAAACTCTTTCTATATTAATTAATAAATATTTTTTATATGAATAAATAAATACTGAAACTCTTTACACTTTTAATAATAATATATATATATATATATAGATAATGGCAAATTACGTTTTAATAATCAAGAGGAGTTTTATAACTTTATTATTTTATTATTTATTTAATGATTAACTTATGTTTGTATTGTTTGAATTTTATTTGGCAACTTACGTTTTAATAATGATGAGGAGTTGTATAATTTTTATTATTTATTTATTTATAATGGTGACTTACGTTTTAATAATCGAGAGGAGTTCTGAGAGTAGTTGTGATGTCTAATTAACTAGAGAGTATTATGCAAAGATGTCTGATTTTTAGTGTTTTTATTTATTATTAGTTTTTATTATATCAGGTTCCATTGTAGCTACTTTGGAGTTTATTAAGGCCTTCGAGTGAAAGTTATTTTCTTTCAATTTACACTATAATTATTTGCATGAAAAGTAAAATTACGATGCATCATTATTATTATTATTATCTTCATGTATACACCCCATGAGGTTGGGGTGTTTGGGATAGATTTAAAATAGGCATTTAAACATATTTTCAGTAAATTGTAGAGTGTGAGAGAGTTTCACATATAGCTTGGACATCATATTGGTAAGTAAACTCTCCTACAGTAACTAAACTCTCCTATGAACAAGAAGTTGATAATTTGTGGACAGTAACAAAGAGTGATCACTCGATTTTTAGTGTCATTGGACCTAATGATAACCAATTTTATGATCTAATTAAAAGTAAGTTTCTTTTATTGTTAGATTGAATTGTATCTATAAGTTTCTATAATTAGGACGGAGCCAATGTGTGCCAAGAGGGGGCACAGGCCCCTCCTAGTCCCGTCCCGCCGACTATAAAATATAGTAAATTTTATTTTAATTTGTACATTTATAAAAAAAAAATTCTATATAATGCCTAAAATTTTAAAATTGTTTTCTAAATTTTTCTTTTCTTTTCTTTTCTTTTCTTTTCTTTTGCTCTTACTATTCTTTGCTTTCCTTAAGAAAAAAAAAAAAAAAAAAGTTAAATTTTCCTTCTTTATTCAAACTCCAATTTTTTTTTCCTTTCAAATTTATCAATTTTCTTCCCTTTTCTTCTTCTTCTTCTTCTTTTTATTTTTTTTTGACCCCTACTTCTTAACATTCTTCTTTTTGCATTTATGAATGATGTATATAGAATGTAATTTTTTTTTTTTTTCTTATTTAAATTATAATTTTTTTTTTTTTAAACTATACCCTGAATTAAAATCCCAACTCTCCCCTAATGGAATCAATCCGTGTCATGACAACTCTTCTCAAACGGTTTCGTATTGGTAAGTAAACTCTTCTATGGACAAGAAGTTGGTAAACGGTAAAAAAGAGTGACCACCCAACTTTTAGTGTCATTGGACCAAGTAAACAATTGTTTGATTTTTTTTTAATAAATTATAAAAAAATATTTTGTGTTTTCTAAAATAAGATTACAATATGATTATAATAAATTCTTGATGATAACCAATTTTATGATCTAATTAAAAGTAAGTTCCTTTTTATTGTTAAATTGTAATTTTTCAACTTTATTTTTAAGATTTAATTGGTATTTATAAGTTTCTATGATGGGATCAGTCCTACTACATGACAACTCTTCTCAAACGGCTTCATATTGGTAAGTAAACTCTCTTATGAACAAGAAGGTGGTAAAAAATAAACGATTTGTTTGGTTTGTTTTAATAAAAAATTTTAGAAATCCGTCCTTTATACAACGTTTTCTAAAATATGATTTCAATATGATAACCAATTTTATGATTTAATTAAAAGTAAATTCCTTTTTATTGTTAGATTATAATTTTTTAACTTTATTCATGAGATTTAATTGGTATCTATAAGTTTCTATGATGGGATCTGTCATACGGCATGGCAACTTTTCTCAAACGGCTTCGTATTGGTGAGTAGACTGTGGGTGGTATAAAAAGAGTGACCACTCGACTTTTAGTGCCATCGGACCAAATAAACGATTTGTTTGATTTTTTTTTTTTTTTTTTTTATAAAAAAATATTTAAAAGGAAATTCTTTTACTGTTAGGTTGTAATTTTTCTACTTTATTTATGAAATTTAATTGGTATCTATAAGTTTACACTACACGCCTCTCACAGACACACACAGTAGGTAATCCTCCAACAAGCTCTACTTCCTTCAAAACAACATCAAAGTTTTCATTATCTTTTGGGCTAAAAGCAAAATTAGCGACTACCTGGTATGTTCCATAACCCTTCAATATGTGGTACATAATTTACCATCAAAGTTTTATGTTATGTTACATAAATACACTGTTTTTACTATTAAATCTTCAATCCACACATCATCGGATTGATCCAAGTCCAATATTTGGCTACAAGATGCTACTTATACTCTTGCGAATTCTATCTTTTAACTTCCAAAAAAGCCATAACTAAGAGAACCATAATCACCCAAACCTGATTATTATACACATATATGTACACACACCCAAACCTTTCCAATATTTCATGCCAACTATGACCAAATCTTTTGTTTTTTTGAATTGTATTCAACTTGGAATATGTCAGGAATCCATTTTTCTCCCCCAAATAGTAATGAAAAGTAATAATAAGTTGGGCTCGTGCTACCTTTTGACCTCGACCCTAACTTCAATTCATCTTTTTGTGAATGCAGAAGCAAAAGAGGCAATGGGTGAGGAGCAAGCAGCATCAGTAACCAAACAATTCCGACAATTTGATGTCGTAACGGATTACTCGGACCATGAGTATGCTGAATTAAAGAATCCACCAATAAATACCGGAAGCGCAACCTACAAAACGATCATGAAAGAATGGAAAGTGCTAAGGGACAGCCTCCCTGAATCAATCTATGTAAGAGTTTATGAGGGAAGGATCGACCTGCTCAGAGCTGTGATTGTTGGGGCCTCTGGAACACCATACCACAACGGCCTCTTCTTTTTCGACTTTCAATTCCCTCCAAGCTACCCGGATGTACCTCCACAGGGACATTATAAATCATTTGGCCTCCATTTGAATCCAAACCTTTATGATTCAGGGTATATCTGTTTGAGCCTCTTGAATACATGGCCTGGTCCAAAGTGGGAACCTTGGAGGTCAACAATGTTACAGGTGTTGGTTTCTCTCCAGGCACTGGTACTCAATGAGAAACCTTACTTCAATGAGCCTCTACTGTTGATATGGTTCGAGAAGCTATCGACGAGGTACAACAATGATGTTTTTGTGATGTCATGCAAGACAATGATGTTTCTGCTCCAAAAAAACCCAAACAACTTTGAGGATTTCATTGTCGAACATTTTCGCAGCCATGGACGTGATATTTTGACAGCATGTAAGGTGTATACAGAAGGGTTCGCGACAGTCGGTCACTATCAAAATGAAGACTCGTTTTTACCAGAAAGAGTCCATGTATCAAGTGAGTTCAAGGATTCAATGACCTGGGTATATCCAAGACTTGTTAAAGCCTTTGAAAAGATTCAAAAGAACGGTCCTAACGATCCTTCTTTGAGGAATTTCATTTCACAGTTGGATCTAATGATTGGAAAAACTAAAGCTGAGTATATACAAAAGTTGGAAGAAAACAAGGAAGAAAACAAGAAGAGAATGATGAAACTGGACTTCTTTGGAAAACTGAAGGAGATTTTTGGATTGAACACGAGTGCAGAAAGCAATGCGGCTGGAATTGAAGCAAGTCTTCTTGAAAAAGGTTCAGTCGGGACAAAAGGAATTGAAGCATGTTACTGATGCTTAGCTGAAAGTTTAAACATATTACATAGATGCTTTTTATTAGAATGTTTTTCCTTGTTAATCCCAATTAAGTGTTTTCTTTTACAAGGAAGAGACAACCCATCTGGAATGTTTTATACCTTTTTTGCACTTTCGATTTTGATTACTCCTACCTTTGGTGGCTAAATGTTTTATACTAGAATGACACAGATTGCATAAAACATTTTTACTATTTTGACCGACTTTGAGAAGGCTTTATATTCTGCTTGGTTAGTTATAGTAATATTTTCTCACTATTAGTCTTATTAGCTATATCAATACTCGTATGATTCTGAGTATCAGACTCAAAAGACTAGTAAGAGTTTCATCTTTTGTTTCAGCTTGGGCAACTAATTAACCTCGTGAGACATATAAAAGACCCCCCAGGGAGAAGTTTCACCAAGTGGGATAAGGATCTTCTCCTGGAAAGAAGAAGTCCTGCACACCCACCAATCATTGATATGGCATCATTATGAGTTGGAGAATTCAATCCAATAATTGGTGGGTGTGCATGACCTCTCCTTTCCTGGAAAGGATCCTTGTCCCACCAAATGATCTCCTCTGTAAAGTAAGCAAGTCCAATACTTGACTCACGTGTGTTTTTTTGTATAATGCTAATTTTGCCCTTCAATATGACCATTTTACCCTTTTGCCTAAAACTTCTTCCATTCATTTGAGCAACTCCTCTTCTTCTTCTTCCTTCTCATATTTCTTCTCCCCTGTTTCCACAAGGTCTGCTATGCACTACTAGTTCATTCATTAAGCTCTCTACATTTCATTTATTGTCCATCTTTTGCACCCCATAATCTTCAAAACACCATTTTCTCTCTCCAATTACAGAACAATAACAAACCCAAAAACATAGCTAAAACTATAACCATTTGCTCCAAAATAGGTCCAAAAACATGGTTATATAATTATTTGCTTCTGTAGTGTTCAATTGAATTGTGAAGTTCATTTCTCTATCAATTTTATTGTAGAATTCAAATTTTGGTTTAGTTATAACTTATTTGGTTCTATTTAGTCTGATTGTCTTCTTTTTTTCTTTACACTCTACAAATTACAAGTATTAATTTTGTTTGGCTCATACTTGAAATTGAGGGATCTACTTGTTATTATTGAATGGATTTACTGTTTTTAGATTCAATTATGCAATTTTTACTATTGTAAGGTTCATGAATTACTTCAATTCAACATTCCTTGAAGCAGGAAAAATTGAAATTGGAGCAGGGGATATACATATATATATACATGTATATATTATAATACCAAATTCATATATAAAAACTCAAAGTGAAAATTTTCAGTTTACTAATGAGGGCATTTATGGTATTTCTCTTTTTTGAGATTTTTATTTAAAAAAAAAAAAATTAATTATACAGGGTAGTTTGGTAATTGTGTAATGACATTGGTTGTAAAGCAATTGGCGGTCAAATTCAAGGGGGCACTATTGAATTAATCTTATTATATGTTATATGAGAAACTATTTATTTATTATTATTATTATTTTTTTTTTTTGGAATTTTAAGCAACTGAATATAAATATAAACGATAGTTACTCACTTTTATAGCACTTGATAAAACCTCATGTTTTTTTTTTTTTTTTTTAACACTTTTGCCAATTGAAAAAAACTTGTTTATTATAACTCCATCTAACTTGTCGTAATTAGAGCCGGTCAAATTATGGAAAATACTGCAGAATGTTAATAGTTTCAAGCTATATTTATGTTGTCCACAGGGAAGAGTCCTAAATTCAATTTAGGGGGGCACGGTATAAAAAAATAATAATAAATTCAATAATTACGACAATAAATAGAGATTATATAAATCAAGAGACAAAGAAGAAAAATTACTCAAAATAATATGTCAATCAATGTGTAATTTAAAAAAAATAAATTGTTAACAAAAAATTTAAAAAAGGAAAAATGATAGAATTTTAAAAGAGAAAAAAATTGGAGTTTGATTCAAAAAGAAAATTTGACTTTTTATAAAGGAAATTAAATGAATTTCAAGAATAAAAAAATGAAAAATACCAAATTTAAGAGAGAATTTTAGAAAATAAAAATTTTAAGAGGAGCATTATATAAATTTTTTTATATATAAATTTAGTATTTGTATTATAGTAAGCGGGCAGGTAGGGGGCACGTGCCCCCCTGGGCATACATTGGCTCCGCCTTTGGTTGTCTGTGTTCCTCTACTTCCTACCCTACTTGTAACTAATAAGTCATCATAACAATCAATACACTAGTCTACAAGTGAACTGTTACGACTGTTTGTACGAAATAAAAGCAAGGATGATGATGATAATCTACAAGTGAACTGTGAACTGAAATTACTAGCGAAAAAATAAAATAAAATTATGTACAACTGTAATAATGTAACAGATCCATCTAATGGCTTGGTTGTAGATACAAAAACTAAATAATACAAAAAACTGTGTCGTTTCTACAGCTTTCAAACAGGTAGTATACCACCTTCAGAATTCTCAAGGTAATCAAAGTAATCCGTCTTTGCTTTCAATTATTGTATTTAAACTCAACAATCTCAATTTAATATTCTGATAATGCCCAATTTCATTCGAATAAGTTAAAAGTTAATGGCACAACTTACCAAAATTGGAGTTGTTAATGGCACAACTTACCAAAATTGCAGTGGTTAATGGCACAAACTTTTATCAGTTATGCCTTCTACACACACACACACACACACACAATGTAGGTGACCTCCAACAAGCTCTACTTCCTCCAAACAACCTCAAGTTTTCATGATTTTTTGAGTTAAACTCAAAATTGGCGACTACCTGGTATGTTCCATAACCCTTCGATATGTGTTCCATAGGTTACCTATTATGTTGTGTTAACCTATTATTGAGACCATTAAACGAATTGAATAGAAGATGCTACTGTTGTTTTCTATTAAATTATTAGATTGATCGAACGCTAAGCCAAGCCCAATCTTTGAGTATAAGATGCTGCTTATAGTCTTGCTTAATTCAATCTTTAACTAAGAGACCCAGAATCACCAAAACCTGATTATCATACATTATTCATACCTAACACACACCCAAACCTTTCCAAATTTTCAAGTTATATTCATGTCAACTATAACCAAATCTTTTGTCAACTTGGAATATGTCAGAAATCCAATTCCCCCCAATATTTGGCAATTCTAAATACAGAGATATAAACACTTCATTAGAAAAGTAATAGAAAGTGGTCGTGAGCATACCCTTGTTTCGGTGGAAAAAACACCCTCTATTTCCCTTGATCATAAGAAATAATTACTTACCCTCGAGGTATCCAATATGTCCCGTGCCACCTCTTCACCTCAACTCTAACTTCAATTCATCTTTCTCTGAATTCAGGAATGACGAGGAGAAAAGGCCAAGTTAAAGCAATGGCAAGGAGCCAGAATTCAAACAATTTGATGTTGTAACCGATTACTCAGACCATGAGTATGTCAAATTGAATCGACAAATAAGTTTCGGAAGCAAAGCGTACAAAACAATCATGAAAGAATGGAATGTGCTAGAGAGCAATCTCCCAGAATCAATTTATGTGAGAGTTTATGAAGGAAGGATCGACCTGCTCAGAGCTGTGATTGTTGGGGCCCCTGGAACACCATACCACAACGGCCTCTTCTTATTCGACTTTGCATTCCCTCCAAGGTACCCGGATGTACCTCCAAAGGGACATTATAAATCATTTGGCCTCCGTTTGAATCCAAACCTTTATGAAAAAGAGTTTATCTGTTTGAGCCTCTTGAATACATGGGAGGGTCCAAGGTGGAAACCTCGCACGTCAACCATGTTACAGGTGCTGGTTTCTCTCCAGGCACTGGTACTGAATGAGAGACCTTACTTCAATGAGTCTGTGCTTGAACCCTACAAAGGAACGATATGGTACGAGAACCAATCGTTGAGGTATAACAATGATGTATTTGTGATGTCATGCAAGACGATGTTCCTGCTCCAAAACAAGCCAAAGAACTTTGAGGATTTCATTGTCAAACATTTTCGCAGCCATGGACGGCTTATTTTGACAGCATGTAAGGCGTAAACAGAAGGGTTTGTGACAGTCGGTCACTATCAAGATGAAGCGCCGTTTTTACCCAAAAGAGTCCATGTATCAAGTGAGTTCAAGGATTCAATGACCGGGTTATATGGAAGACTTGTTACAGCCTTTGAAAAGATTCAAAAGAATGGTCCTAAAGATCCTTCTTTGAGGAATTTCATTTCACAGTTGGATCTAATAATGACTGGAAAAACCAAGGATGAGTATATACAAAAGGAGGAAGAAAACAAGAACAGAATAATGAACTTCTTCTTTTTTTGGGTAAGTAGAATAATGAACTTCTTTGGAAAACTGAAGGAGATTTTTGGATTGAACACGAGTGCAGAAAGCAATGCGGCTGGAATTGAAGCCAAGTCTTCTTGAAAAAGGTTCAGTCAGGGGATAAAAGGAAAGGAAGAACACTCTGACTTAACTTTTGATAAAGCATGTTACTGATGCTTAGCTGAAAGTTTAAACATATTGCATAGATGGTTTTTAGTAGAATGTTTTTCCTCAATTAAGTACCTGTAATGTTTTATACGTTTTTTCTGCACTTTTGATTTTGATTACTCCTACCTTTGGTGGCTAAAAGTTTTACTAGAATGGCACAAATTGCATAAAACATTTTTACTATTTTGACTTACTTTGAGAAAGCTTTATATTCTGCTTGGTTCAGCTATAGTTATATTTTCTCACTATTAGTATTATTAGCCATATCAGTACTCTTAACATATGATTCTGAGTCATACCCAAAAGACAAGTAAGGGTTTCTGGGCATTTGTTTTCAGCTTGAGACCAACTAATTAACTAAGTGAGACATATACAAGACAGCACGACAGATGTGAAGCGATTGATCAGAAAATGAGTAAATATTTAAAAAGATTTACCAAGTGAGCAAAAGTTGCACTAACTACAAACTACAAAGTGATGAAATTTAAAATCTTGTTCATCAGAACTCCATCGAACATGGTTGTAATTAGAGTTGCTCAAATTATGGAAGATACTGCAGAATGAAAATAGTTTCAAGCTATATGCCCTTTGTATAACTGTACCACTTTCGTTGGTTTTGTAAAACCGTGGTAATACTAACAGAACTATATTTTTGTTGTCTGTGCTTGTCTACTACCTACACTTCTTGTAACTAATAAGTCATCATAAGAATCAATAAACTCCTTAAACTTTCAGGGAAAAAAAAATCAATCAATAAACTCTACAACCTATTGTAGAAAAAGAAAAAATTTAAGCAAACATGCAAAATAAAGTCATGAAGGGATGCCTAATGCAGTGCATTCTTTTTCTATAATTAGTCTACAAATGAATTGTTAACTGTAAGGGAATATGACTTATGATAGAAAAGATTGGAAAAAAGAGAAGTCGCGTGGCCAAATTTCCTTTGTACGAGATTAAGGCAAGAATGATGATGATGACGACGATGAGTCTACAAGTGAACAGTGAACTCCATTTGCTACCAAAGGTTGTAGCTTACAGTCTAGTGGTACTTTCTCACCTTCCAATATAGAAGGTCGAGGGTTCAAGACTCCGTAGGGGCAAGTGGGTGTGAAAGTATCCCCAAGTCTCTTTCCGTGATCTACTCTTAAAACCTTCTAGAAAAGGTCAATTTCTGTGTGACACCCACTATATATAAACATATATGAACCATATGAGCCATCAACATACACAATAATTAGACATGAAAAGAACCCAATTTGCTCAGTCTTTGTATGGATAGTAAGAGGTTTTACTAAATTGAGTAGTTGAGTAATTTGATAGAAGTTTCCCATTGATTTTTATTTTGCTTGTAGGAATAAAAAGTTAAAATTCGTGTGTGTGTGCGTGTGTGTGTGTAATAGCCGCACACAAACATATTTTTTGACACAATTTCAAAAAAAATATTTGGGTCATCATAATATTAAAGTTAATGAGCAACAAAAAATTCCTATACTTGAGAAACCCCAACTTACATCTCAAATCCAAATCACTTGTAGCCAATTAATTTGTAATAGTTGCAGTAGAGGTATCGATGACAAGCTGTGCCAAGAATTTACAGAGTCAGGCAAAGATTGTTTTCATCTGCATAGAAGAGAAACCACATCAACGTTGGAATTTAGAGTTCAAATACAAAAATATATATATATATAATATAGAAGTTAAATATATATATATAGCGCATTTATCGGAAATGTAATTATAATTAGGGGATGATGGGGTGAGTTTTAGCAGGACTCTCTTCTTTGGGGAATATCGTCAAACAGATGGGGCATAGAAGGAAATGGAAATCGAGTTGAAGAAGACGATGAAACGGCGTCACACGAGTCTCTGGTGATTAAGAAAACAAAATGTAGATTTAAAAAGGGATGGGAAGATAAAAGAAGATTTTACATGGGAAAAAAAATGTGAAAAGGCAATCAGACTTAAGCTGAGGTGCAGCATGTTAAGGGCCCACTTGTTTTTCTCTTTTTTATTTTCGGAATTTTTTTTTTTTTTTTTGGGAAAGTAGTCTAATTTATATTTGTTAAATGAGTTGAATCTTTCACAAAGAATCGTGTAATTTATACAAATCACTTCATTGCAAAAAATAAATAAATAAATACTTCATTTTTCATATCAATATGATCCATTGGTTTGTAAAGTTATTTATTATTTTTACAAATTAATATTTATTGTCACCCCCAAAAAAAATATTTTAATACATATCATAAATTTTTAAAAAATAAAATAAAATTATGTACAACTGTAATAATGTAACAAATCTATCTAATGGCTTGGTGGTAGATACAAAAACTAAATAATACAAAAAAAAATTGTGTCATTTCTACAGCTTTCAAACAGGTAGTATACCTACTTCAGAATTCTCAAGGTAATCAAAGTAATCCGTCTTTGCTTTCAATTATTGTATTTAAACTCAACAATCTCAAATTTAATATTCTGAGACCCACCAAAATTGGAGTTGTTAATGGCACGAACTTTTATCAGTTATGCCTTCTCGCTCTCTTTATATATACACACACACAATGTAGGTCTCTACTTCCTCCAAACAACCTCAACTTTTCATGATCTTTTGAGTAAACTCAAAATTGGCGACTACCTGGTATGTTCCATAAGCCTTCGATATGTGTTGCATAGGTTACCTATTATGTTGTGTTACATGGGTTACTTTTTATGTTATGTTAACCTAATCTTGAGACCATTAAACGAATTGAATAGAAGATGCTACTGTTCTTTTCTATTAAATCATTAGATTGATCGAAGGCTAATCCAAGTTCAATCTTTGAGCATAAGATGCTGCTTATAGTCTTGCTTAATTCAATCTTAACTAAGAGACCCATAATCACCAAAAGCTGATTATCACACCTACATATATATGTACACACGCCCAAACCTTTCCAAATTTTCATGTCAACTATAACCAAATATTTTGTTTTTTTAATGCATTCAACTTGGAATATATCAGAAATCCAATTCCCCAACCCCCAATATTTGGCAATTCCAAATACAGAGATATAAATACTTCATTAGAAAAGAAATAGAAAGTGGTCGTGAGCATACCCTTGTCTCAGTGGAAAAAACACTCACTATTTCCCTTGATCATAAGAAATAATTACTTACCCTCGAGGTATCCAATGTTTTCTCGTCCCGTGCCACCTCTTGACCTCAACTCTAACTTCAATTCATCTTTCTCTGATTTCAGGAATGACGCAACGAAAAAGCCAAGTTAAAGCATTGGCCAAGGAGCAAGCAGCATCAGTAACCAAACAATTCAAACAATTTGACGTTGCAACTGATTACTCAGACCATGAGTATGTCAAATTGAATCCACAAAAAAGTTTCGGAAGCAAAGTGTGCAAAACGATCATGAAAGAATGGAATGTGCTAAAGAGCAATCTCCCAGAATCAATTTATGTGAGAGTTTATGAAGGAAGGATCGACCTGCTCAGAGCTGTGATTGTTGGGGCCCCTGGAACACCATACCACACTGGCCTCTTCTTATTCAACTTTGCATTCCCTCCAAGCTACCCGGATGTAACTCCAAAGGGACATTATAAATCATTTGGCCTCCGTTTGAATCCAAACCTTTATGAAAAAGGGTTTATCTGTTTAAGCCTCTTGAATACATAGCAGGGTCCAAGTTGGGAACCTTGCAGGTCAACCATGTTACAGGTGTTGGTTTCTCTCCAGGCACTGGTACTCAATGAGAGACCTTACTTCAATGAGCCTGTGCTTGAACCCTACAAAGGAACGATATGGTACAAGAACCAATCGTTGAAGTATAACAATGATGTTTTTGTGATGTCATGCAAGACAATGATGTTCCTGCTCCAAAACAAGCCAAAGAACTTTGAGGATTTCATTGTCGAACATTTTCGCAGCCATGGACGGGTTATTTTGACAGCATGTAAGGTGTATACAGAAGGGTTTGTGACAGTCGGTTACTATCAAGATGAAGGGCTCTTTTTACCCAAAAGAGTCCATGTATCAAGTGAGTTCAAGGATTCAATGACCCGGGTATATCTAAGACTTGTTGCAGCCTTTGAAAAGATTCAAAAGAATGGTCCTAAAGATTCTTCTTTGAGGAATTTCATTTCACAGTTGGATCTAATGATTGGAAAAACTAAAGATGAGTATATACAAACGGAGGAAGAAAACAATAACAGAATAATGAACTTCTTCGTTTTTTCGGTAAGTAGAATAAGGAACTTCTTTGGAAAACTGAAGGAGATTTTGGATTGAACACGAGTGCAGAAAGCAATGCGGCTGGAATTGAAGCAAAGTCTTCTCGAAAAAGGTTCAGTCAGGTGGATGAGGGGGACAAAAGGAAAGGAAGGACACTCTGACTTAACTTTTGATAAAGCATAATTATCGAAAAAAAAAAAACTTTTGATAAAGCATGTTACTGATGCTTAGCTGAAAGTTTAAACATATTACATAGATGGTTTTTATTAGAATGTTTTTCTTTGTTAATCCCAATTAAGTACCTGTAATGTTTTATACATTTTTTTTGCACTTTTGATTTTGATTACTCCTACCTTTGGTGGCTAAAAGTTTTACTAGAATGGCACAATTTGCATAAAACATTTTTACTATTTTGACTTACTTTGAGAAAGCTTTATATTCTGCTTGGTTCAGCTATAGTTATATTTTCTCACTATTAGATTTATTAGCTATATCAGTACTCTTAACATATGATTCTGAGTCATACTCGAAAGACTAGTAAGAGTTTCTGGGCATTTGTTTTCAGCTTGAGACCAACTAATTAACTAAGTGAGACATATAGAAGACAGCACGACAGAAGTGAAGCGATTGATCAGAAAATGAGTAAATATTTTAAAAGATTTACTAAGTGAGAAAAAGTTGCACTAACTACAAAGTGATGAAATTTAAAATCTTGTTCATCAGAACTCCATCTAACAAGGTTGTAATTAGAGTCGTTCAAATTATGGAAGATACTGCAGAATGAAAATAGTTTCAAGCTATATGCCCTTTGTATAACTGTACCACTTTACAATCAATAAACTCCTTAAACTTTCAGGGAAAAAAAAAAAATCAATCAATAAACTCTACAATAGGTTGTAGAAAAAGAAAAAATCTAAGCAAACATGCAAAATGAAGTCATGAAGGGATGCATAATGCAATGCATTCTGTTTCTATAATTATCTACAAGTGAACTGTGAACTGTAAGGGAATGACTTTTGATAGAAAAGATTGGAGAAAAGAGAAGTCGTGTGGCCAAACCCCCTTTGTATTAGATTACGGGATGATGATGGTGATGAGTCTACAAGTGAACCGTATTTGCTACCAAAGTTGTAACTTACACTCTAGTGGTACTTCCTCACCTTCCAATATAGAAGGTGGAGGGTTCAAGACTCTACAGAGGCAAGTGGGCATGTAAGTGTATTTCTTATCAAGCTAAACTGTAATTATCCTCATGTCTCTTTCCGTAATCTACTCTTAAAACCTTCTTGAAAAGGTCAATTTGTGTGTGACACCCACTATTTATAAACATATATGAACCATATGAGCCATCAACATACACAATAATTAGACATGAAAAGAACCCAATTTGCTCAGTCTTTGTATGGATAGTAAGAGGCTACACTAAATTGAGTAGTTGAGTAATTTGATAGAAGTTTCCCAGTGATTTTAATTTTGCTTGTAAGAATAGAAAGTTAAAATTCGTATATATATATATACTCACACACAATCACATTTTTTGACACAATTTCAAAAAATTTATTTGGGTCATAGTAAAATTAATGAGCAACAAAAAATTCCTATAATTGAGAAACCCCAACTTACATTTTAAGTCCAAATCACTGGAAGCCAATTTGTAGTAGTTGCAGTAGAGGTATCAATGACAAGCTGTGCCAAGAATTTACAGAGTCAAACGAAGATTGCTTTCATCTGCATAGAAGAGAAACCACATCAACGTTGGAATTTAGAGTTCAAGTACAAATATATATATATATATATGTATATAGCGCATTTATCGAAAATGTAATTATAATTAGGGGATGATGGAATGGCGGTTGGTGACTTTTAGCAGGACCAACTCTTCTTTGGGTAATATCGTCAAACAGATAGGGTATAGAAGGAAATGGAAATCGAGTTGAAGAAGACGATGAAACGGCGTCGCACGAGTCTCTGGTGATTAAGAAAACAAAATATAGATTTAAGAAGGGATGGGAAGATAAAAGAAGATTCTAGATGGAAAAAAAATGTGCAAGGCGATTAGACTTAAGCTGAGGTGCAGCAAATTAAGGACCCACTTGTTTTCCTCTTTTTAATTTCGGTTTTTTTTTTGGAAAGTGTTGTAATGTTTCAAATATATATATATATATTGTTAGTTAAAGAAAAGAAAAAAAAAGATATTTAAAAAAAAAAACAAATTGGTGGGCCCACAATTGTTTTAAGTGATCGTGAGACTATCTTTTGGTCTTTTGGCCTCTATTTCTTTATTCTCTCGTCTCTCCCCCTGCTTGCTTCCCTGTGGTTTCTTTTTTCCCTTTTCTTTTTTTTCATTTCAAAACTTAAATCCTTGATTCCTCTCTCAATTCTTGGTATTTTGAAATATCGTTTGCGACAAATTAAAGCTCACGGCGAGACCTACAAGCTGATAGGAGCAATTCATTGGTTGATGCATCATGAGAAATTCAAAAATCCTAAGATTTGAGGTGAAATTTGGGGGTTTTGCATATAATTGAAGTAGGGGTTCATAATTCACTTTTTCTTGCTCCTTTATGAATCATCTTATTTGATTTGTCGTCAATCATGTTAAATTGTGTTAGTTTTTCCTTGAAATGATCATATTGTTGTAATGAGATATGTGTCTATGTGTTTTAATTAGTGTTACATGAAATATATGAATTTAATTCCATGTCTTACTTACTTACCATGCTAGAATTTTGTTGAAGGAAGTATGTTATTTTTTTTTAAACTTCTTGTGAAGCATGCTAAGTAATTAAATCTTAAAATTGGTGTGTGATGATAAATGTTGCTATGACCAAAAAGGCATGAAGCATCTATGTACTTCATTTGAAAAGAGATGAGAACATGAATTTGACAAATAAATAAATAAATAAAAATATATACATATATATTTTTGGGAAAGAATTTTGAAAAGAATTTTATGAAAAACCCGGCCGCTTAGGAATTGCCTAGGGATCGCGGCGTTAGTGAGGCCTAGAGGGGACTAGGGAAACCGCCCTAGTGTGGTTGAGTTACCTGGGCCCCAAATGATGCCATGGAGTTGCCATGGGTCAGGGACAGTGGCCAATCCTCCTCTCGTGCCGCCATGGAGTTGCCATGGGACGGGTTCACTGACGATTTGGAAATGATAATGGAAATGGTTTTGGGAAATGGGGAGTGACATTGCATGGCACGGTATCTCAGCGCATGGCATATTTATTTGTGGTATTGGATTAATGATGTGGTATCGTAGTTATACTTTTACTCCCGGCATGGTATGATCCCAATTTCCTTATTCCTATTCATTGTGTGGATTCACGAGGTCTCAAGAGATGTGCCTTAGGCACTACCTACTGAGCAATTTTGCTCACCCTTATTATTTAACATTTTTCAGGGCTCGGAAAAGAAGTGGCGGATGACAATCCCCCGCAAGCTTGAAGAAGATTAGAAGTTGTATTTTGTTATCTTTTGTATCTTAGTCCATTTTTTTTTTTTTTTTGTATTGTCTCAAACTATGTAAAAGATTATTTATTTTTGCAAATCATGGCCCTGTAACATAACTAAGATACTTGATTATTTTTGTTGTAAACTGAGACCATTTAAATGCTTAAGTTGAAGGGGATGATGATGATGGGCTAATTTGGGAAGTTTGTTGATGTTGTGGTATTGGGGAATGCATTATATTTCTTTTGTATTGTGTGTTGGGGCAGGTTGGATAGGTTTTGAAAGGCCGTTGTTTTTTTTCATTTGAACAGGTTGTTGTAGGACTATTTTTAGCGGAGGTCATGCTGAAATTTTTTTAAAATTTTTTATTATTTTCAGTATTCAGTTTAGGGTCGTTACAAATTTGGTATCAAAGTGAAAGTTCGAAAACCATTAGGACGATAGGTAGAGGCCTACCTATGGTTGTCTAAGAAGTCATTTGCATTGTAAATTCCTTATTTGCAAAAGTGTTTTGCTATGTGAAAAAGCATGTTTAACTGTTTACTTGCTTACGTGCTTATGTGATTATATGTTTATATTAATGTGTTCATTGCATAGTATTGCATGCTAAGTGTTACTATAACATCCTTTTATGTTGAGTTGTTCACGGTTGGACCTTAGTGTTATCGTTATTGAACCGTTTTTTTTTTTGTTTTATAAAACGATGTCACGGCGTGAAGAACTAAGGGAAGTTGGCACTAGGCCAACAAAGGGTGATGTTGGCGAAAGCTCTAGCTCCAATCCGGTGGAGCCAATTGATAAGGACATACTTCTTAGGGATTTGATTGCCCCAAGAGTTGTTCCTACAAGGAGGGATAATGTTGAAGCACCCGTTGAGGAAGGTGAAGGTTCGACGTAACTTACATTGAACCGTTTATTGCAGAGAGCCTTAAGGGTTACAATTGCTACACATCCGCAGCCGGTACCTTAACCAGTACCACAACCTATAGCCCAAGTTGAAGAGACACCAGCACAGAAACGTCTCAAGATTATTAAGGGATTTTCTCAGTTGATGCCGGTAATGTTAGAAGGTGGTGTGGATCCAATGGAAGCGGATGACTATATAGATCAAGATGAAACTCAATTGACTTCTATGGATATGACAGATGATCACTTGAAAATCATCCTAGCCACTTACAAGTTTTCAAAGGATGCCAAGTTTTGGTAAAAATTGATCACAAATCAATATAAGATTGAAGAGATGAGTTGGGATAGATTCAAGGAGCTGTTCTATGAGAAGTATTTCCCTGACTCCAAGAGGTGGGAGTTAAAGAATCAGTTTATTGGTCTTATCCAAGGCAATATGTCGGTGACGAAGTACGAGAACAGGTTCACCTCACTCTCTCGCTTTGCTCCAGAGATGGTGAGTAATGAAGTTGATAAAGTTCGGAAGTTTATCTCCAGACTTGACTACAAGATGAGGCCGTTGTTAATAGCACAGGGCATCAAGATTTATTCTGAGGCAGTGGAAAGGGCATTAATGCTAGAGGCGAAGGCCAAAGATAAAGATGCAAGAAGGGAACAGTGGAAGCAAAAGAAAAATGCAGGGTCATTTTCAGAGGGACCTTAATGGAAGAGGAACAGAGGTGGTTCATCTCAGTTTCAGGGGCAACAGTCAGCACGATCTGCTCCTACCACTCGTATGCCAGCAGGGTCTGCCAGGAGTGGTGTCATTTGTCATCGTTGTAATCATCTGGGTCACTACAAGTCAGAGTGTCCACAGACATCGATTAATTCTGGGGCTTGTTTTGGTTGTGGCCAACAAGGCCATAAGGTTAAGAATTGTCCTAATCAGGGAGCAGGCACCGGTAGTGGTAGAGGGTCACAGCAGAGGCCGTCACAGACTGCTACGGTTCAGTCAGGTTTCAGACCACCACCATCACAGTCTGCCATGTCCTCTCAGGGTTCAAGGCCAGTTAGGAAGGATACTCCTACTATGTCAGTACAGCAGTCAGGTGTTCAGGTTGGTAGTTCTCAGGCACAGGCACCACAGGGACGTGTCTTTGCACTTGCACCGACTGATGCATCTCCTGGATCATCAGTTCTCCGAGGTATATTTCCAGTGTTTGGTTCTTGGGCCAGTGTTTTGTTTGACTCTGGTGCATCTTATTCCTTCATATCATCATCATTTGCACTTGCATCGGGGTTAGAGGTCAGTTTCATGGATCGGGCGTTGTATGTTGATATGTCAGTTGGGGTTTTAGTGTCTTTGAGTTGAGTTGTACGGGATTGTTCCATTGTGATAGCCGGACGAACCTTTGTGTTTGACCTTATCCTCTTGGAGATGACTAGTTTTAATGTCATTCTTGGGATGGATCGGTTAGCTTCCTTTTGTGCCACAATCGACTGTTTTAGAGGTAGAGTCACAGTTTGCGCTCCCGAGGGAGACTGTTTCCTTTTCGTGGGAAATTGGAGTGATTCCCACATTTCATCATTTTATGGAGTCGTGGTGATTACTTCTTGGCTAGCCTTATAGTCGAAGAAGATGACGTTGTGGAAGAAGATTATCCTGCAGTTGTTTATGATTTTCTGGATGTGTTTCCGGAAGATTTGACAGAGTTGCCTCCACACCGAAAAGTGGAGTTCACTATTGATTTAATGCTAGGTACCGCGCCGATTTCTATGGCACCGTATCGTATGGCACCAGTTGAATTGGAAAAATTAAAGAGGCAGCTTGATAACTTGAGGATGAAAGATTTCATCTGACCGAGTGTGTCACCGTGGGGCGCACCGGTCTTGTTTGCTAAGAAGAAAGATGGTTCTTTGAGGTTATGCATTGATTACCAGAAGTTGAATCGTGCCACCATCAAGAATAAGTATCATTTGCCAAGGATAGATGATTTGTTTGATCAGTTGAAAGGAGCCAGTTATTTTTCGAAGATTGACTTAAGGTCAGGCTACTATCAGTTACGGGTTACGGATAAGGATATCCCAAAGACAGCGTTTCGTACACGGTATTGACACTATGAGTTCCTTGTTATGCCTTTTGGCTTAACTAATGCGCCAGCGGCATTTATGGACTTGATGAACCGTGTCTTTCATGAATTACTTAGACCAGTTTGTGGTAGTTTTCGTGGATGACATTCTTGTGTATTCATGATCTCGGGAAGAGCACGAGATCCATTTGAGTATTATTTTACAGATTTTGCGGGAGCATCGATTGTATGCCAAATATGATAAATATGAGTTTTAGCTACAGGAGGTGAAATTTTTAGGGCATGTTGTTTCAGAAGGTGGAGTGTTAGTGGATCCATCAAAGGTTGAAGCATTTTTGAATTGGGAGCAACCCAAGAATGTTTTTGAGGAGTTTCCTTAGCCTAGCGGGTTACTATCGGAGATTTGTGAAGGATTTCTCCCGTTTGGCAGCTCTTATGACCCGTTTGACCCGGAAAGGGATCAAGTTTACATGGAATGAAACCTGTGAGTCATCCTTTCAAGAGTTGAAGACAAAATTGACTACAACTCCAGTGTTGGTGATACCTGAGCGTGGCTTGGGTTATGTAATTATTGTGACGCTTCACGTGATGGTTTGGGATGTGTGTTGATGCAGGATGGTAGAGTAATGGCTTATGGATCTCGACAGTTAAAGACTCACGAGCTTAACTACCCTACTCATGATTTAGAGTTAGCGGCAATTGTATTTGCCTTAAAGTGTTGGAGACATTACTTGTATGGTGAGAGATTCGAGATGTACTCGGATCATAAAAGTCTCAAGTACCTTTTCTCCCAAAAGGACTTGAACAACAGACAGAGAAGATGGGTTGAGTTCTTAGAGGACTACAATTTTGAGTTGCAGTATTATCTGGGCAAGGCAAATGTGGTAGCAGATGCCTTAAGCCGAAAATCTCGTGGGACTCTGGCCTGTTTGGCTATTCAGAAGTAGAAGATGATTAAGGATTTGGCAGAGATAGGATTATATTGTTTTGATGACGATGTTGACAGTGAGCTAGCATTCTTGTTTAGTCTTGTGGCTCAGCCTACTCTTGTTGTGCGAGTGATTGAGTTACAGAGACAGGACTCGGATTTAGATGCCATTCGCGTTTTGATCTCCAGTGGTGAGACAGTGAAAGATTGGGCCTTGCATGCAGATGGGGGTCTATGGTTCAGAGGTTTATTGGTGGTTCCCATGGTCTGTCGTGAGGACGTCTTACGGGAGTTTCACACTTCTCGCTTTACAGTTCATCCAAGTAGTACCAAGATGTATCACAATTTGAGATGTCAGTATTGGTGGAACGGGATGAAGAAAGATGTTGCTCAGTTTGTGGCTAAGTGCCTTACCTATCAGCAGGTGAAGGCCGAGCATCAGAGACCAAGTGGTTTGTTGCAACCATTGCCTGTAGCACAGTGGAAATAGGAACATATTGCTATGGATTTTGTGACAGGTCTTCCAAGGTCACGGAGGGGCAATGAAGTCGTATGGGTCATCATTGATAGGTTGACCAAGACGGCTCACTTTTTGCCTATTAAGGCAACAGATGATGCAGAGAAGCTTGGTGTACTTTATGTGAAAGAGATTGTAAGGTTGCATGGAGTTCCAGTAACTATTGTCTCAAATAGGGATGCCAAGCTCACTTTGAAGTTCTGAGAAGGACTTCAAGCAGCGTTTGATTCAGTGTTGCATCTTAGTATGACATTTCATCCACAGACAGAAGGCCAATCGGAGCGTACTATCAAGATTTTGGAGGATATACTTTGGGCATGTGTACTTGATTTGGGAGGTAGTTGGGAGGATTAACTTCCGCTTATTGAGCTTGCTTACAATAACAGTTATCAGCCGAGTATCCAGATGGCTCCATTTGAGGCGTTGTATGGTAGACTTTGTAGGTCTTCTGTTTGTTAGACTGAGATAGGCGAGACAGCCGCCTTAGGACCCAACATTGTACTCAAGACTATTGAGAAAATTAAGCTGATCAGACAGAGGTTACTTACAGCTCAGAGCCGACAGAAGAGTTATGCGGATAAGCGGAGACGGCCGTTATCCTTTGAGGTGGGAGACCATGTTTTTCTTCGGGTTTCTCCATGGAAGAGCTTGATGAGATTCGGGAAAAGTGGCAAGTTGTTGCCACGATTCATTGGACCGTGTGAGATTTTGGACCGTGTAGGAAAGGTTGCCTACAAACTTGTTTTACCACCACAGGTAGACAGAGTCCACAATGTTTTCCATGTGTCGATGTTACGGAAGTATGAGCCGGATCCATCTCACATTTTGAGTTGGGTTGATATGGACATTAATGAGGATGTTTCCTATGAGGAAGGACCAATTCAGATCCTTGACACATGTGATACCCCTCGATTCTAGAGCCACGGGTGATCAAGTCCGAGAACAGATCCGAGGGATACCAAACAATTAATATATAAACAAGCAGAAATAAAACTGAATTAAATACAAATTAATAATACGCTGAAAGAAATCTAACATAAGAATCCTCAAACTTGAAATAAATAAATTAATATGATTTAAAATCGTACAAATCCTTGAACAAATTTACAGAATTAAAAACCAAAATTTAAAATAGAAATGAAATCCTATGTAACCGGAAGAGTGAGTGTCTGTATCTGCATCAACACGATCCAGCTCTAAGACTGGTACTGTCGAACACCTGAAAAATAATAGAGTGGGTCAGGCCCACATGCAAGTCCTGATCTGCTACAATCCAAACAGTAATCCGATACGCAGATACATCCTAGAAAGACTCAACAATATCTAGAGTAGTCCATATATGTATATATAGTACACACTATAAGACGCTCGCTAGTCCAGTAGGTCTGTCTCAGCCTGAATAGAAGGTAACATACAAATACGCACCCTAAGGTAGGCATAAGTACCTAGACCTACCAGGGGACAACACCTATGTCCAGTTATCCATCCTAGGCGATATACGCGCCCTAACCATGGTCCTGAGACTCAAGCTCATACCATGGCATATATAATAAATATATAAAGTCCGTACTCCTCCTAATACAGAATATCATCCATTTGTGTAGTGGTCTGATATCTATATAATAAATCCATTCGGAAACCATAGTAGATCATTCAATTCACAATTGATATGACACATGTAGGTGATGGACTTAACCTTTATGGTTAATCCATTCCTGAATCCAAATTGGGTCGGACTTGGTGTTTTGAACTAATCCATTCCCAATATAAGTAGGTCTTAATGTTTTGAACTAAGCCATCCCTAATATGACATCGTCCCATACCGGTTCATATACATCCATATAAGTGGGACTTAACCTTTTTATGGTTAATCCAACTCATTCCAAATTAGGTAGGATTTAGTGTTTGAACTAATCCATACCTAGTATGTCACCGTCCCATACCGGTATATACAATCCTCCAGTTCACGTAGTTATTAACACAGTACAATTATTTATTAACCACATCCCAGAATAAGCATAAATATAGTTTAGCACGTATACAACCAATTTATGCATCCAATATAACATTTAGATATCTCATTACAATTCTTTACATATATGAAGAGACAGTACAAATAGCCCCTCCAGCTAACCCAGTTGACGGAAACAGTATTAGATACAAATCAACCATAATCCATTATATGCATAATTATCATTTAATACCTATAACAAGTCAATAGGAATTATTACAGAATCCAACCATCACATTTTAATCATTTAAAATGCTAATACACGGCGTAGTAATCCAATCCTCCATAAACTCCTTAAATTGAACAGAATTTATAAAAAATATATATATCAACTAATTCCAAATCAAGAATCGATGGTTACAAGCACTTACTATTCTTATACTTCTATTTAGATATAATTAAACCATAAATTATATATGCCAGAAAAATTCCAAGTTCCAATAAATGGTTTGAATGTTCAAAACAGTTAGCAACTCCCGATTTTTCTTAAATTTAATTTTCTCCAATCCTTAACCCAATCATGGATTAATATTTTCCATAGTATAATGGGTTTATTTCAGACCCAACAATAATTTAAAACAGCCTAAACAAAGTTCCAAGAACCTATACAGACCAAACAGTGCACAGAAACAAAATTTGGTGCGTTCAACTGAGAGCAGGCTCATTCAAAACAAAGAGCCTGCTCTATTTTTTTCAAAAGAGCCTGCTCAACTAATCTAGGAGCCGGCTCCTAGATGCTAGAGCCGGCTCCACCTTCCTTTGGAGCCGGCTCGAAGGTAGAAAGAGCCGGCTCCTCCTCTTCTTGGAGCCTGCTCTTCTCCCCTTAGTTGCCGTCGTCCGTTCTGCTGCTTCTTCTTCGACTGCGGTGTTTTCCAGACCTCTGTAAGGTTCTTAATGGTTGTTCTAGGGTTCAATCTTAGTTCTAGGGTAATCTTAACCCACTGATATGCAACCACGATCTGAACTAGACACAAGTCTTACAGCAACGATTACATAATTTCTGATAGCAACTTTAGACAACTTACAATAGATTTATTTAGTAAAACTCAAAACTGTTTTAAAATCTTATTCTAGGGATTAAACTCATTCTCAGAATAATTGTAAGGCATCCAATCATATTACTAATCTTAATAAAACAGGCTTAAACGTAAAAGACACAGACAGCAGAAAATCAACCAGTATGCAAAATAGTTAACTCACTGAGATCAAATAAATTCATATCTGCATGGAAAACATGTTATTATGTTTGTGTCAATCCGTTTTATCTTTTATTACAACCCTGAAGTCTAACCAGGTATGCACAGAACACGAATTAAGGGGAAAGAATAGAACAGAGACTTGCCTGCAATTTCAGAGTTTGAAACTGTAAACCACCGTCTATGAGTTCTCCGTCAATGTTGTCGATTACTGTTCTACACCTCCGGCGCTCTTGGTTCAATCCAGAAGCAACCCCGTTCTTCCCCTTGAACCTCACTATAAATCCTCAAAGGTCTACTCTCTGTTTTCCTACAATTCCTCACTATTGCACTCTGTATTTTCTCTCTGTTTCTTAGGTACGTGAGAAGAACTTTGTGCACTTTTATAAAACCCTAAACCCACATTAAACTATATATTTATAGAACCCAAAATCTTAACCTAATTCTAATTCGTTTACCAACAGGAAAACAAAACCCTAACATCCATTCCCTAACTATGTCGGCGACATCCGCATAAAATAAAAAAGAAAAACAGTACATTAATTAAATAAAGCAATTAAATAAGTACTAAAAAAAAAAAATCAATCAGGTAATAAATTCAAGTTACATAATACTAAGGCAATTAATTTAAATAAATTCAAATAATATAATTAAAACAATCGCAATTTACATGTAAATTAAATACACACAAATATTAATTAAATCAATTAAGCAACCACAATTAATCAATGAAAAAAAAATTAAATTAAATTTCCAATTCTATTCTTTTGAAAAGTAGGGGTATTACAACACACAACAAAAGGTGTTGAGGAATAAGACGATACCAATGGTGAAAGTTCTTTGGAGACACCACGGAGTCAAGGAGTCTACTTGGGAGCTTGAACAGGATGTTCGCTCCAAGTATCCAGAGTTGTTTTCTTCCCCAAGTATGACTTGATTTCGGGGACGAAATCTTTTTAAGTTGGGGAGAATGTAATGTTTCAAATATTCATATATATTGTTAGTTAAAGAAAAGAAAAAAAAAAAAAAAAAGATATTTAAAAAAAAAAAAAAAAAATTTGGTGGGGCCCACAATTGTTTTAAGTGGTCATGAGACCATCTTTTGGTCTTTGTTTCTTTATTCTCTCATCTCTCCCGCTACCTGTTTTTCTCTGGTTTCTTTTTTCTTTTTTCTTTTTTTCATTTCAAAACTTAAATCCTTGATTCCTCTCTCAATTCTTGGTATTTTGAAGTGCCGTTTGCGGCAAATTGAAGCTCACGGCGAGGCCTACAAGTTGATAGGAGCAATTCCTTGG